TTATTTGTGTTGTTATTACAAGTGTTGCTGTGACCCCCTAGGAAAAGGTTATGCCCCGCCCTGTAGTAATGGCAGTTGATAAACCCTGCTTTATACGTGCATTCCCTATTGCTAGTCTTCAGCTATTGAGTATCCCCCGTCCTCTTTATAGGATCAAAGAGAGTGCAAGAGATCTGGGGGGAAAGAAAGGAACTCATGACTTGAAATGATCACATAATGCGCCTATTATTATTATTATTTTTTAAAAAACAATTGTTGGCATCGCGCGGCTCTTGCAAACGAGATCGGTAGGGCCAACAGGAACTCTGCGGAGAAGTCAGGACGCGGTGTCCTGAAAACCTCCCTCTCGGTCACCCGGCCCGATCTCCTTGCGCCAAAAAGAAATCGTTTGCTATACGAGTTTTCCTCTATTCGGGCCACTCCACCCTTACAAGCCAGGCTTTCCATAAGGCGGTGAGGCGGTCTCTCGCTTAGGCACCCCAACAGCGCACGGGGTGATCCGGCACTGCGATCTTTCCTCCTGTCAGGAAAGGCTCGTCCAATTGAAGGCGGCGGGCTTCAAGGAGGGCGCATGCTCTGCAGAGGCGGCGCCCTCGGCCAGCAGGTGGTGCTGCCCGCTCGAGTCGCTCGCCTGCGCCCGAGCGCGGAGAAAAGTTGGGGGAGAGAGAGAGAGAGAGAGCCGGGGAAGGAGGAAGAGGGCGGCAGCGCGGTTTGCGTTTGCCAGAGCAGCGAGGAGCGCCTCGGCAGCGCGTGTGCATGTAGGGGGGTGCATGCATGCCGTGGATGCATGCATGCAGGCGTGCGTTCCCCTTCTCTCTCTATAGGATGTACCGCCGAACGGTTGGCTCTTCCCTGTAGGCACGCGTCTGGCTCGCCCTTGCCTTGCGAGAAGCGCTTGGCACGAGTAGCAGCTGCCGCTGCTTCTCTTCTCTTTCCCTCCGGTCGGCGTCCAAGCGATCCAGGCGGCTCCTGCGACAAGGCTCGCGTCTTTCCCGGCCGCCGCTGCAGCTGCCGTCTGCCTTTTCCTTCCCTTCTCCGGTGGGAAGCCTCGATGTGCTGCCGCCAATGGCTGGGGCACAGCCAGGAGTCCACGCTCTCCAGCTCCAGCCGGTCCGGGTCTCGGCTAGCCTCAAGAAGGGCTCCACCTTCGTCAAGTGGGACGACGTAAGTTTGCGGAGCTCTGCCACATTCCCCCTTCTCTGTCTCCCTCTCTCCTCCTCCCCCCTCCCAGCTTTACTTTCCCTTTCCACGGTTTAGGGGCGCGAGGAGCGCAAGACCCCCGCGATGCGACGGGCAGAGCTGATGGATGGGCTGGCACTGCACCATGTGCCGGGAGACGCGTTGACTCAGCGCGCGCGCTAGCCCCAGGAAGGGGGCAAGGGCATCCGCGTGTGGGATGTGTGCTAACCATCAAAGAAGAGACGGCGTGGAGCTGGCCAAGTTTCAGCTGCTTTGGGGCAGCCAGCTTGTCCACTGCCTGCAGCCCAGCCAGAGAGCGTATGCTTGGCATGCAGAATATTGAACAATTCTGAGCGTCCTGGGGTTGTCCAGTTAGGAGATTTCCTGCGAGCAGGACAGAGGGCACCATTTAAGCATTATAAGGCCGCATCTTGTGTCTCTCAATTCCCAGTAGTTTAATCTGGCCATTCAGGTGCTAAGAGCCAGCTTGGGGGGGTTAGAATATACCCACTTGTTGTGTGGGTGAGAGCCATGAGACTTTGAGTGAGGGCGATCCTTCATTCTGACAAGTGGACAGAGTGGAGGTAAAATGGGAAGTGCAGGTGCTGCCGGGTTTAAAGTTGGGAAAGGAGCAGGATGATGGAGCTTGCCAATTTTTTTCCCTGCACTGTAACATTGGAAAAGCTAGAGCATTGGTTCCTGGCAAGTTACCCATAGCAACAAGCGACTCAGTGCATTTATGTGGATTTAGACAAGCAGCTGAAGAAAAACATGCACAGTATGTGTGCTTGTGTGCATGTGTACTGGAGGGAGAAAAAAAAGCATAAAGGGGTAAATGGAATTGGGAATCAGGAAAATAAACGACTCCACCAAAGTGGCAGATATACCAGTAGTGCTTATTCTTTGGCTTGAAATATTTTAATAGTTTTCAGCCATCAGTTAGATGCTGCTTCACAGACCCTTCTTCATATGATGAATCTGCTGGATTCACATTTTTTTTCCCTACAGCACAATGATCAATTAATAGATATATGCTCTGCTGTTCATGCATTTAAAATTTTACTTCTTTGCATAAGCAGAAAAAAAAGACATTACTGGTCCCAACAGACACTCTTATAGCCTGAAAAGAGCAATAGAAAAAATAAATGGATAACGGGGTAAGGAGAAGAGAGATCAGTGATTGAAGTTAGACAAAAAAAAGACTCACAAATTAAATGAGATTTCCTTTTTGTCTCTTGTTGAGGGCAATTAAAACAAAGATGGGAATGAAAAGTTAGTTTTCTAAGAGGACTGCTTTTTGCATCTTACTTTCTTAAGAGCAACACGGCGCATTTGATTTCAGAGACCTAAAGATTTATTTAGAGTGTGAATTTCTTTCTCACCTTATATAGTACTTGTGATCCTTCTGTAACAGGTGTAGGACCTGTATTTTCGTTCTCATGAAAGCTGTCAAACTCGGCTTATGTTTTATTATTTTGATCAGAGTCTAGCTGAATGTTCCAAGATGCAATAAAAGAAGTATGCTGTCCTACTCATAGAAAACAAGCTTGTTAAAAAGCTTAATTCGTTTGGCTCTCAAAAGTTCAGTATGGGTAGTCCTGCAGAAAGCAAACTATCAGACTTTTTTCATTGGCTAAGGATGAAATGGCAAGAAAAGATTTCCAAAGACAGAAAAGTGCAGATAAATAATTTTATTGTAGAAAAACGCATAAGCCATTGCAAAAGAATCCCTGTGTTAATTAGATATGAAATGGTTTTATAGGTGAAATTAATGGTTCATTTTTTTTTACTCTTTCTCCAGCCCAAGTGATGCAATTAGCCCTCTGTTGTTGTGCTTCCCCAATTTTTGTTGATCGTGTATCGTGGGTAAATCAGATCTAGTTATTGGGCTGTTTACTTAATAAAATCAGCTTTTTCATGCCACGCATGTTATATTCAGTTATTATTCACTGTGCAAAGCTTTGCCACAAAACTATTTTTTTCTGAACTATGCCTTTTCAATATAGATTTGTAAATAGTGATTGCCAGGGAGAAGAGATAGCAATAAATGGTTAATTTGTAATCGAAATGCTTAGGCAACAGTTGTCTTACCTGTATTCATTTTCATGTCAATCATTGGCATTTTCTGCTTTTAATACCAGCATAAGTAAACTCATTCCTTCTAGCAGAAAATGATATAAAATATGCTGTTCCTTCTCCTGTAGTTGATAGATAACACAAAGCAGCAGTTGGGTACTTAAATAACATTTGAGAAGCTTAAGAAAAAAATTCCTTCGGGGTCTTTTAGCACTGATGTTTACTTTTAATGGTTAGGATTAGTGACTTTTCAAAACTGATACATAAGTACAGTAAATTATACAGTTAAAAGTTGCATTTTAATAATTTTTTTGCTTTAAAAAACAATAACATTGTTTGAGAAGTTGATCTCATTAGAAATATCGCAAGTTGTGGGTGCAGAATAGAGTCAATGATGATCTGTAAAAAGAGCATATCTGTTATTTACCATAATCAGTTTGCGGGAGAGATATTCACTTGAACATAATGTAAAAAAACAATTAGCCTTTGTCAATAGTCCGGAAGAAATGCCTGTTTTCCTGTAGGCAGGAGATAGATTTCTGATGTTGGGTATACGTTTCTCATCTGGAGCTGATTTCACAATAAGAAGAGCAGCAAATCTTTCTCCAAATCCCCAAATTAGGCAGCTGAAATTAAGATAATTTATGGAATCCAGCATATTTAATATTTTTTGGTAAGGAAAAAAATGAATACAATTCTGCTACTGAACTGATGCGGTTCAGTTCAGAGTTTGCTCAGAGACACGGTAGAAAATTCTTTTGTGCATTATTTTACATTATGGTGATCTCTAGTTCTAAATAAAACATATTGTTTAAAGAAGTCCACTACTAACCCACCAATTAAGCAAAGCATATTTATTAATGTAAAGTTTGGAAGGATTGGAAAGATAATGATTAAAAGTTCTCATAGATATCCAGTCTTCTTTTGAGAATTAGAAGCCACATGCTAAATTGTTAAAGTAGGAGCCTTCTAGATTAACAGACTCTATGAAGGTATTATTTATTAAAGCAATTTGCCTTTAATTAATACAATGCATAAACTTCAGAGTATGCAGATTTGCCAAGTTATTCTCTATGCATAGCATCATCTAAGCAATTAAGTTGTTTAAAGCTACAAGACTTACAGACTTAAATATATTTAGATCAAGCCTTCTATGGAAATTCCTTTCAAAAATTCTTCAGACAGCTGCTTAGTCACAATTTACAACAAAATGTCATAGGCTATTTGGTTCTTTGAAAACACCATGCCTAAATTACTTCACCTCATTCAATCTATTTTCTTGGCATAACATCAGGCAACACAGAAGCTGTGTTGATGTTGAATTTTGGGAGTGTTGCTTGTCTTTGTGTAGTTAAAGAACAAATCCTGACCTCTAAATTTAGCTTGGGTTAAAAGTGACCCTGGGAACTAGAAGGTGAATGGTTGCAAAATCTCATGTAATTAGATGTAATCTAATCCTAAAGCCAAGCTAGACATGCAGATAAGATAATTTCCCAGCCTCTGTTTCTGTGGGTTATGTAATTATTAAGGACCAAGTGAGAACTGTAGACTTGGGTTATGCTGTTACTTTTCTGAGGCTGAGGGTCACATTTAAACTTTGAGTAGTGCATTTAAGCGGGTTAAAACAAACAAATAAGCAGGCTGAAGATAAAAGTAAAATCTAACATATTTAAAGTTAATTAAAAGTAAATACAGGCAATTCACTTAAGCTCTGTGCATGCTCTGTTCATGTTTTCCTCCTCCATCACACAAATGTTGTCAATTGGTAATAGATTTTGGAGAATCTTTAAGTACCACTTCAAAGTCTTTAGGGACCACAGATTGTATGTATGCTCCTAATTTGCTTTTCTGTCTTTTACACCCATTCAACTATAGGGAGAAAAAAGCTAGAAATATTGTGCCTTTTCATTAGTAAAGATAAATTTCTGAAAGGACTCCATGTGTGTGTATCTATGTGGTTGTGGTGTGTGTGTGTGTGTGTGTGTGTGTGTGTATGTGAGAGAGAGGGGGGGTTCCTAGGCTGTGATTCGAAATAAAATATATATATACCCATATGCATACATGCATAAATTGTTCATTCATTCATTGATTACAAGTAATTTTGTGCCACTTCATTTGAATAAATCTAAACATCTTACAGATACAATGAATCCTACAGGACATAAAAAATAGTACAAATTATAAGTTATAAACATTCTAATTAATTTCATAAAATCATAAATACTAGTTTCTAGGTAACTAATTATCAGACTCGTAATTCCCAAACACTTCCTTTACTAATTAGGCTTTTAATAATTTTCTATTAAAAGGTTTATCCTTGGTTCTGTTCAGTAGTTTAGTAGCAAGAGAAGATATGCTTAAATAAAATAGAATGTATTTTTGTCATAGTGTTATTGCTGAAATATTGATAAGACAAAATAGGAACTGAGAATATCCGTCTCTTTGTTTGTCTTTCTGTAATTGCAGATTCTAATGAAGTAGAAAATAAGTCATAAAAAACAACAACCCACTTACTACTTGGGGAAAACACGATCAGTAAATGTTAATTGTGTTTATAAAGAAGCTTTTTGAAACTAGTATAGTCATATATAAGGGACTATACGGAAAGGTGGCAGAAACCAGTCTCAGTTCAGATTTCACAGCTAAATTTAAATTGCTGAAATAAGAAACAAGGGATGTGTTGGATATGGGAAGAATAAGATGGATCAGAAACTATAAACATTTAAATAGATTTAAATGTAAATGAAAACATTTAAAGTCTCAGGTGGGACTAGAATCCATTTACTATATTTGCTCCCTAGGATTTGTGTTGATATTCAATGAACACATGAATGAACATCTGAAAATAAAATAGTCCCCTGAGATGGAAGCATCTTACAAATTTTAATATATTTCTCTATATATTTTGG